AACTTGTTGAGGTATTCCGTTTCTGCAAGGCTCTCTTTGCATGTCGCTTTCGATGCCATGGAGAGATGGAAAAGCTGCAGAAGGAGCTGAAGGACCAGTCCTGGTCGCTTTGGACAGATCCATCGCATTGAATGGGTAGTTATAATTTATAGATATGTATGTTATATATATATATAATGGTGCCCATAAGCCCCAATTTATAGATATGTTTGTTATATATATATATAATGGTGTATGTATTTGTAGACCCATAAACACCAATTTATAGATACGTATATTATATATATAATGGTGTATGTATTTATAGACACATAATCACAATTTATAGTTGATATGTTATATATAATTGGGGGTTTATGGGGGTATCCATACATGGGGGTACCCCAAAATGGATGGTTTATAATGGAAAATCCGTTTAAAATGAATGATTTGGGGAGTACCACCATTTCAGCAAATCTCCAATTAGTTTAGTAGGTATTGCTAGCTCATTTTTTGCATGATTCCCTCCAACCTGTTTCTCGATATTTTTCTGTGGCTGAGACCCCTTAGCCAAGTCTGTTGGGAAATGACATGAACATCCAAGACAGGTCAAACAAAACATCTTCCAACATCTTGATGGTCCCATTCAACCAGTTTGCTATTTGAAGATATTTGAAGTTCATTTTTGAAGGTTACATCCCCGATCGAGGCTGGAGGATCATCCCACTTGGGAATTGGCTCATAACTCATAAGGGTGGTATAACCCCACGATTCGGGACTGCCAAACCAGGGTTCTTAACCACTTACACCCCCTGAGATGATGCTCCATATATTGCCCCTAGAAGATCTATAATAAGTGGATCTTTATTATGATATTTCCATTGTTTTTCCATTTGTGATGATTATTAGTTGCTCAGTAGCTCATTTTGTGTTTTTTCTATTATGATAGTTGGTTATCCCTATACAATAATAAACCACCCATCTGGTGAAATTTCTGTTATAGTTGGTTACCCATGGTTGGAATTCTATCAAAGCACCCATTTATGATAACATTGGGGATGGTTTACTATTGCGTTAGCCACATTAAATCCAACGCAATAGTAAAACATAGTAAATGGATGGCTATTTTGATTACTTGATTGGCGTATGACTCTACTATTGCTTTATTATTTGCCCAGATAGTATATGATAATATCATATAATATCCCATTATTTTCCATGAAATCCCTATCTTTCACCACTTTTCAGCGCCGTTGCGCCACTGCATTTCGAAACCGCGAGGCTCTCCTCTCCGCGCCGGCGCTGGAGCAGCGCGGCCGCGTCTTGTGGCGCAGCTTGGTGGCGCAAGGACTGTGAGAAGCCGCATGGGATGGTTGATGAACCATGGACCTATATAGCAATCTGGTATTATACATTGTAACTGGGTATATATCATAGCATATCATATCATATCATACCATATCATATCATATCATATATTATATATTAAAGTGTAAAACACAATGTGATATGATGATCGAAGGAAGTTTAGAAGTCAAACTTCCGACAATATGGACAGATGAAAAGCAGAGATGGGAAGAGTCAGAGAAGAGAAGAGTAGAAGAGAGAAGATCAGAGAAGAGAAAGAGTCAGAATAAAGAAGATGCAGATGCGCGAAAAAGTAGAAAAGTCGCGAAACAGTGTGTTTTTCCAATGATTTGTGGCTCCGGAGGATCGAAAAGTAGGTTCGCTAAAGCGGCGGGTGCGGAGCCATCTGGCCAGATGAGAGATGAAAAATTGCACGCCGTTGTGGCGCGAAGCACGTTTGCAGGTAAAAAAGTTAAAACACTGCACGTTCGGAGCACTTTTGGAAGTTAAGATGTCGAAAAAGTGCATGCCGTTGTGACGCGAAGCATATTTCGAAGTCAAAACTTACAAAGCACACCATTCTTGGAGCACTTTTGGAAGTTGAGATGTCTAGAAAGTGCACGCCGTTGTGTGGCGCGAAGCACATTTCGAAGTCAAAATGTTAAAAGCACCAGGGGTTCGGACCACTTTTGGAAGTTGAGATGTCTAGAAAGTGCACGCCGTTGTGGCGCGAAGGACGTTTCGAAGTCAAAATGTTAAAAACACCAGGGGTTCGGAACACTTTTGGAAGTTGAGAAGTCGAAAAAGTGCACGCGGTTGTGGCGCGAAGCACGTTTCGAAGTCAAAAATGTTAAAAGCACCAGGGGTTCGGACCACTTTTGGACGTTCAGATGTCGTTTCGCGTGGCAGGCGCAAGGGATTGTGCACCTTGTCAAAAGTTTGCAAAACGTGAAGGTTTTGTAGCATTTTCAACTACAACCACAACTACACCACACTACACTCCAATACAATACACTACAACTACAACTACACCTTCACTACATTCCACTACACTACACTACACTCCATTACACTACACTATACTCAATTACATTCAATTACATTCAATTACATTCAATTACAGTCAATTACACTACACTACACTACACTACACTACACTACACTACACTACACT